CGTGCCACTAGCCTCAATCACTACTGTGGGTCGACAATGCACACTCCAACCAAGCACTAGCACTTCTTTCGTCTCCAAAGAAATTGCAGAGCACCTCATTACTTCTCTGCGGTGTCGGTAGTGAGCGTGGTTGGAATGCCCCGTGTGGCAACCATCCACTTTCATTAGCGTAGCACGTTCATTTTTCACTTTGAGAAAAAAGGTGAATATGCAAATCGAAAATCCAAGTGCGCACAATTAAATCTGTTGGTGCTTAGTTTTAAGTGTCAAATTAAGCACCAACCCCCATTTGTTAACATGCATGCATCAAGGCCCTCTTCAACTCTTTGCAAATGGGTAAACTAGACTTCCTTTGCGGACAGTTTGTGCACTTCAAGCAGTTTTAAGTTATGCATTCTTTAAAATCCATCCGAACGTTATTTACAACATTCTGTGTTTGCTAATTTGCTTTTATTCAAGTACATTAAAACCATGAAATAGAAAAAAGCCTGCCAATGTTTAAGCGTCACAGAAGATTATGTACCACTTTCTGAGCTAATGCTACAATGGAATTGCGAGCTACTTAAATATAAACAAAGTCCGTTCAAAATGCAAATCGTTTCGTTTATGGCCTTCTACTTGTCCTTGTACCCTTTGTGGTGCATGCTCACCTTCATAGCACTCAAACATACTTTTGGCATCAAGCATACTTACACATTAAAGTTCCAAAAGTGACTGATGGCGCAAATACGACGAAGTAGATGAAGAGGATACTGCTAAACATTGTTCCCACATTGTCTTTGGTAAAGGCATCGATGTAGTCGCTGGGCATTCTGGAGGCAAGGGCCTTGATTCCACACATCAGTTCGTAGAATGGTGGACAGAGGCGCTTACATGGGTGCTTGGAGCAATGAGCCTGAGGCTCCTTTTCCAAACTCAAGTTCGATGATGTCATTTCCTCTTGTAAATCGGCTTCCAGGATGTCCTCAAACACTATGAAGAAGACAATTTACAAATCAGAATTGCAGCAACACTCTGTAGATAGTTTAATGGAATGGAGGCCCATTTCAAAATAGTGATGTTTGACATATCATCAGCACCAACAAATAGTCTTGCTTTTATTCGCTCATGACACGCCCTTGGGCAGTTAAAATGCAAAAGGACCGACTGTTTTAAGCCAGTTTGTGATTAAACTTTTCGCCTACGAAGATTTCATCATATTCAGTCGGTCCATGAATAACAAACAAGCATTTTAAAACAGATTATATAGTTGCAATGGAGAAGAGGTGTAGCTCAGGCCTACCAAGGTCAGCTCGTTCAAACTCAACTTCGTCGTCAGAAGAAGAGACATCGATGCCACCACTGCGATTGAGTATTTCTGAATAGTTACCAGAAATGAGTATAATATCCCGTCGGAAACCCAGCGCAGCCCTGTAAATATCTCCCGGATCTTGTGAATGACGCAAGGCTGTGAGAAATCTCTGTCAAAAACAAAGAACAAACAAACAAACGAAACTCTGGCAACTAGTGCACGCTTTGGTCCTATCGCGAAATACTGCCTAAATTGACTACGTATAGTGAGAGCGGTAGGCGTTGGAGTTAGCACCAGTCTCACTAGCAATAACAATGCTGACAATCGGGCTGTATCACTTACGCTGTCGTTGAGCATTGTGGCGAAACATCGTCCTGTTTGATACATGGCCCTCTCCTCATTCACTCTCGGCGTGAGTGCAAGAAGCACAAAACGAATACCAACATCCACCTCCACCATGCCTAGTAATTTGGGCGCCGGATCTGTCACCAGTCGAATGAGGAGGTAGAGGGGCTGCGATAGGCATGGCAAACATCCAACCATGATGCTGCATCCCTCTGCACCATCGCGTAGACACACGGAGAGGTTTTTGTTCGTGAAGCCCATCGTTTCTTCGGTCTAGAAGGGAGCACAAACGTTTCGTCTACAACCGGTAAACGGTGGACAGTATCGTCATTGTTCCCACTTATTTTATAATTAGAACACCTCAAAATGCTTTTTTTTTTAATTTGGGCTCAAGTTAAAGCCACTGGAGAAGTAGTTAATGCGTCGTATTTATCACTATGACTACAGGAAAAGTAATCTTAACTACAAAATTTACAAATCATTTAACGTACTTTAGCTACAAGTGAGGGACGCCTCGGTGGACCTAAAACAATACAATACCAGCTTCAAACTGCAATATTTCAAACAATTGTGGTTTATAACATCGTGAGGAAGTGTAAAATATGAGTGTGAACAAACCTGAGATTGAGAGACGTGGAATGTGATGGATGCTCTGTCGACGATTGACCTGCGGGTGCCAACGAGGAGCTGTTAATGCAAGTTCCAGATTCACGAGATCTTCAGAACTTGTTAATTCGCCTTCCGACTCCAAGAATTTTACTGCATCTTTCATCAAATCTTCACTTGTTGTTGCATTGCTCTGCAACACCAGTAAATCTACAAAAAGGCGTTTTGTGTAATATTGTTAACAAAGAGATAATAGCAAGCACGTGTTTTACTTGAGGGATAACTGTTGTAGTTTTGCCTCCTCTTTTCATGAAGAAAGTGCTGTTGTTGACTATGCATTCACCTAAGGAAAATGACGCTTTGCAACAACACCACAATTTGCCTCGTTTTGGGAACTCTCTTGCAACACATCAACTCATTACTACATTGCACATGCCGATCACCTCTTAATGTCCTCTCCCAGCCAATGGATGGGTGGACCTTGGGGAAAAGGGGAATAAGGCGTCGATCATGGCGACGGTTTTGGATCCCCCTCAGTTTCGTTTCGGCGCTCTATTCGACACCTCCAAATATGAGATGGACAACTTGTGTTTCTACTGCGTAACCGTACAGCAGGGCATGTGCAATCTATTCTTTCGGAGGTACATCAACTTATTCTCGACTGGATTGGTTCTCTGCCCTTCCACAAAAGGATTGGAGTTCAGTGATTGTGGACGGAAGTGGATACGTCTCGCTGTTCAATACAACAAGGACAGAGCGGACTCAAATGAGGTGTATTTCAGACAAGATGGAAGGAGCGTCAACCTCAGGATTTTTGCACTTATTTACTAATATATAGCATAAAATACCCATTAGGGTTAACCCACAGGATCATGGTATGCATAGCACGACTCGGCTAAACCAAAATGCATATAATACTAGACACGATAGCCTCAGTCACCTTTGCGCACACTTTGAGGGTCAACTTTTATATCGTAAGATCTTGCGCTAAAACCTGTTTTAAGGGTTAAAAGAAAACTGGACCCTGAGATCGACTGTTGTATCTTATTTTGAATTCTGTTGACAAGTCGCTGGGTCAGAAACTGAACTAACATCATTGCATCGTGTTCAGTCACTTGCATCCTAAGAGTGGTTTGATGACCTCTTAAGTTTTTAACTCATGTACAGCTAGTGAAATAATCAGACAACAATTTAGTGTGATTGCTAAAGCCATTAAATGACCACTGGAAGGAGAGTTTACAATATGAAACGCATTGGTTCAACTGATACAGATTTAGTCGTCAACTTAAGATCCCGACTGCATAAAGCCTTGTAACTTTTGTTTATTTGAACGGCCTGAGTTTGGTTGCCTACTTCAAAAAGCGTTGTATATAAAGAAGTGAAGAGCCTTCTAGTGACACAAACACAAACTTCAAACTACGACGCTGACGAGCTGGGTAAATTGAAAATGAAAGGAAAGTGCGGAGTCGGAAGCTTTATAAGTGAAATCGGCAAACAAGCGGTGAAGAGTTGGAGCATCAACAAGGCGGATGAAACTAATGCACTGGACCTGTAGCTAAAGTTCTTGTTACTTTCGGTCTGAAATCATCCCTCCATTTGGAGTTTGAATGAATGGTATGGGAACGTGAAAGCAAGTATTACAAGCAAAAAACGAAGTGGCTTGAAACTGTTTTACCGCAAAGGGAATGTAGAGTCAAAAATTTCAACTAAATGCGATGCTATCACGAAAACCAAAGACTTAAATAAAAAACAATTCATTATGGGTAGCATTTAATTCAACCTTTGGGGTAAGTTTCGAAAAGCCACAACCGTAATACTGTGCAACACAGTCGGTGCTAGCTATAAAATCTGTACCACAACAGCAATCGCTGAAGTGAATGTGGCTTTCATCTTTGGTCCAATGCGCAAGTTATCATTACTACTGATAGTTCTTTAGACACTGAATTTCGAATCATTCTTCCCTCACTTTATATCAAACCTTTTGTCCAAACTTCGCAATTTATTCCATTCTTGGTCTAATACATGATATGGAGTTAAGATACGCTAAGTGTAAGTGACGTTGACAAGTTCCAGAGCGGTAAAATTATTCCATCGATTCTTATTTCAAAGGTCATTATCCTCTCTTCTCCTCGGAGAATTCCTTCAACCCTTAGTACAAGCTCCTAAGCTGTGGATGATGGTGCTGTGCTAATACAATATGGACTCCTTACCCCGTGAGTTTCTCAACGTCTAAGATCAAGAATGCAGAAATATGGGTTTTGGGGCTGGGATATGTTACAGACAGCTTTGAGATGCCCCACCACATCTCCGTGAGCTCTACCATCTCGAGGACTCTGCGTAGCTATTCGAAAATGATACATCGCAAAATGAGTTCTCCTATGAGAAGTTTGCAAACATCCACTGCGATGCATCGCCATCAATAGCGAAACCATCTCAGCACAACCAATTCCTCTCTCTACCCTCGTCTCTGCCCACCTCGCCACTGCTGCCATCCCACAACCGAATGCGCTAAACAGACTGTCCCCGTTACAATCGCACCGGTGCTACGCGTTGGGTGCCTAACTCTCAGTGTTGGCAGGGCAACAGCATTGCATTGTGAGCGCTGCACCCTGCTACTAGCCCCATTCAAACCACACGTCAACAATACGCGTTCTGCCCAAACAGCATGCCTTCTCCCCTCGTCGAGACAACCTCGAAGCTCCACACTCAGGTGAAACCTCCAATGCGTTAAAGAAGTTGTGCTTTAATGCTTGACTACTTCTTCCAGGCAGGTACAATAAGCCCACATTACCGACAAAATGGATAAGACACTAGCTAGAGAGGCCACTTCGGAGAGGCAAAACCTAATTTTGATGCGAAACAGTAATCGCAGCATAAATGTTGTCAGTTTTGCAACAACCATCAACAACAACCTCTAGGATTGCACACATTGAGTTGAGTTGCAAAGACTGAACTATGCTGGTATAATAATCCTATTTTTTGACTCCTATTTTATTTATTTTTACTACTAATTCTCCGCTGAGGCAAAACTCAATTTTTTAAATCCAGCGTCGAATACCTGTGTGATAGGGGTACTGTTGCTTCCATACCAGAATATTCCTACCTCATGGAAAGTGTTTAGTACCTTAATGTGCAAAGGTGTGAACGCCAATTTCACCCATTGACAGTGCTGACGTTCCCCACTGACTACCATTGCACAGCTTATTTCCATTATTTCCTAGTGTAGTGATTCGAAACGATATAAGTAAAAAGCAAATATTACCTTTTTGTAGGACAGTGCAGAGTCGGTCAAAGTAGCGGTATGGAAAGGAAGGATACTGTGGAGGATTGAATTTTCTCGTTTCATCGTCGAAAACCTCCTCATAGACTACGTAGCGAGCCACTTCTCTCCAATGCAAATTGGAAGGCGACCCTGCGGGGCGGACCGGAATGGCGCCTCTGGGTATTTCGCCATCCGTAAGCAAACTTATCTCCGTAAATACATCGGGTCGCTTCAGTTCATCTAGGCATACGCAAATAAAAGTGCCAGAAAATAATTTTTCCATTCTTCAACGTCGACCTTAGCAGCACGGGAATTTACGACCCTGCAAACGAAGATATTGGTATGAATTTTGACAGCATTTTGGCCGTATTGTCTAGGGGAAATTATTTTACTGCATTGCTATTACGCATTACAATCTTTAACGTACACCTACATACTGTTGTGAGTTGAGAGACAAAAGCGTTTGTGATTCCATCTGCAAGCCATGTTCGTTTAAGGGAAGGGTATTAGAACTTGTAAAGAACTAACGTTTTTAAAAACAACAATTCAAAATTTGAATAATATGAGTTATTTGTTTTGCAAGAACAATACCCGTTAACTGTCACTCGCAACCTCTTAAAATGCACAAGTTGTTTTCATGATTGGCGTTTCTTTAGAAATATTGTTCTGAATAGCAAGCCATTGTTATGTATGTCAGATCGGGGACGTAGATGACAGTTACTTTGTCAACTGTCTTCTTTTCGACTTAGTCAATCTCATATTTTCCAATAGATTAGGCGACAGTAAGCGATGCTCTGATCTTATAGCCTGAGTTCTTAAGTCACGCGCATGGGAGACATTTGAATTGAAGGGAGTTGCTTGGCATGGAAATGAAAGACATCGACAACAACAAGTAGCGTGTAAAACTAAGTGAACACTCAACCTCTAGTAGTCAATTATTACCCGGTCCAATGGACAAAGACTTGAAACAATGTTTGTCCAGTACAATACTCGTGTTACATAATTGCTACAAGGGTTGAGTACCATATTCACTCCGGCTTTTTCAAACATGCATCAATAAAGTTGGAAACAGACTAATGAGAGGAGCATAAAAATAAAAATCGGGTGTCATACATATCTCGTCATCACTTGCCTCACTTTTGGTAACTGCAAGTATTTTTGAAAGCGATTCACCAATGTGACCAACTCATAAATAGAAGGTTTCATGCTACTATTTGCTAACCAAACTTACACTTAGAAATTGCATGCAATTTGCTGTCGATGATCTTGTCGGCCATTATGCAGAGGCCCTCTAACTCCGTCGACAGAGTGTTCTAATGGTAGGGGGTTTAGGTGCGGTCCTTATTATACTGGATATTCATGAGGTGGGGTCTTCTGATTGGGTGGACAAGGTCGCCTGCAGCTATTGGTTCGTTGGGCCAAGAAAATTCTCTTTTTCGGTCTCTGCTGAGTCTGGCGGTCTAACACTTCCCAGGCGTACACTTTGACAATGTATCCCTCAGACAAATTGTATCATTTAGCAAGGAAGTGTGCTTGATGTGTCTTTCAATCATTTTAGTTATTTTGTACCTCATTTAACTGTGTTTGCTTTTTCAGTGCAATGGAATAGAAAAAATTCGTAGCAAATAATCACAGACGTGGGACCGAGCAACCATACCATAACTTCCAAATTTCGTTGGAGCGAAACAAATTGGACCAACCTTTCCTTCTTGGCTTTTGGAGAATATCGTTCACATCTCGAAACAATTTTCGCAATCCTCTCTATCCTCCTTCTTCAATCCTACACCTCTAACCATCATCCCTTCCCATGCATGCGAACTGCCGTTCTTCGCACACCAACCGGGCAAGGTGTGTGTCGAAGGATGACATTAGACTCACCCACCATTTGTCGAACACAACCAGTAGTCGGTTGGCTAGGCTGTTGGACAAGTGGGCATTCGTTTGCAGAGGCAGTCGATGATTTGATCACTAGCTTTCGCCATTAGCGCATGAGTGACTACACTTTCCGAGCCCTTTCTCTTTTGCGATCGCCAGAGGCAATCAAACAGACGCAGACACACACACACAAATTTAGTGGTCGGATTGATGGAGACAGTAACTGCTTCCTGTCTGGGAGACTCCTAAACATACTGCACCCTTCTAATGCGCCGCAGCGAGTTAGCAAATGCACTGAAAACTATCCGGTGAACACACAGACCCATAGCATCCTCCATAAATATGTAGGCTGGTATACAAGTCAACAGTCACAAATGACAACGAGTAGGCTTTGAGTTTTGTGCAATATTCGCGCCTTTTGTTTGGACCTTCTTCGAATCAGTTATTACATGTGGTCTTTTACACAAATCGCATTAATCTTATTCTACTTAAAAATTGTACTTTTGGATGATGACATCAATATTGGAGGACCTCTCTGGGATCGCGCATAACTCGATGCTGCTTTTACAGCACTAATAATCCCATAGGGATAGCCACTTAGACCAGTCATCGTCTTACTCCCTACACCGCCACACTGCTATAGCAGCTCAGTGTCTTCCAGTGAAGTAATGTTTTGCTTCCCTCATTTACACCATCCTAGACCATTTAATCATAGTCAGCAGGCATCTTTAATGAGAACGATGTCAAAGCAGAAAAGAACCTCCAAGTCCATGCCACTGCTTTTTGCAAATAAAAATCCAATTTTAAATTCCTTTGTGCAAAACCAATGACAACTGCCTAAACATTGCCACTATCGATGCACAGCAAATGAAAGTCCAACCGTATATAAATGGTTTGCAGTTAATTTATGACAGCGAGGATAGCGCAGTCTAAGCCGCTGGTTGTGGCATGGTACACGAAGGTGTGAGGACTGTTCAACGAATCCACGTAGAATGGCAATGCGTCTTGCGTTCAACTTCGCCGCCACAATCAAAAGCCTTAGTACTCTAACTAAATTGTGTTTTACGGTAACTAAATAGCTCAACAAAAGTTATCCGAAGACGAAAGAAGGCACAATGCTTATGCAGAACGTGCATTTCCGACAAACTGTGTCTTACGACCTCTAGCACGGCCTTGCACTGGTCCAGCCATCAGAGGTACAATAGCGAGCTTTTTAAGTGATCTCTCACCAAAATTAAGAGTTGATTAAGCAGTTATCTCAGTGCAATCATCCTCTGCCGATTAAGAATATCGTGTTTACTTCGTTTTTAAGCTTAGCCGCTTTATGTGCGTCATCTATCTCATGTATGACACTGGTGATGGAGGGCAATTTGTTACCTCACATAGGTGTGGCGGTAAAGAGCATGCTCAAGGCAAGACCTTTGTTTATGCTTATAAAATATTTTTAATTCCTGCATTTTCTAGTGATATCGGGCAAAGCAGTTGTAAAGCGCTTTTTTTTGGACTGAGTTGGATAGAAGCCCCCATCGCTACTGAATTTGGTTTGCACATTGTGGGTGCCTTTTGATTACCTATGGCGAAGGGTAGGCTGCCTCTCACCCGTCCCGTCTTCATGTCTGCTAGTCATATTTGTCTCCATCTTGCTTACCTTTGAGAAAAGCCTAAAATGCAATGTATAAACGCTTTCTCTTTCAATGCAATCCCGCCAAATGGGGATGTTTTGATCTCTGTGGATTTTAATAATCTGGATGTAAAGGAAATATGAGGTGATGTGTCTATGTATCCCTCATGTTCGACAACTGGTTCCCTTGAGACTGCCATTGTAGTTCTCTGATGTGCCCAACCTCCAGTAATGCTATCAGCCATAAATCCCCTCTGGTCATACCAAGGTCTTTTGCCCATCAATGTTCGTCAGAAAAATGGCTCCTTAGAATCAGGTCTATTCTCTGCTGCAAATAAAGTAGCATTTCATAGCCAAAACCGTGAGTCAAACAAGTGACAAAGGTGCTGGAACTTGTACCCAGCGAACCCACAAGCTTTCAATAATGTAGTCCTAAGACCTTTGCGTTGAAACAGAAACCGTAATTCGTAAAATTTTGATGAATATTTTATAGCAAAAACCTAATAATGCCGAGTAGCCTATTTTTTAATTCTCTCACGGTTACTAGAGCTTTCACCGAAGATCAATGCTTGTCAATTGACACATTATTTCGTGTCTCGATCCTTGAATGAGTCCTTCTATCTCAAAAGAAGACTTCTATGACATCAAAATTTCCAGTCTTGCCATTAATTATAAGATTAAAGAGGTTTCGCAAATTATATAGTGGTCCACTACTACAATCATAGTTTGCCTCCATTATCAGTCTACTCAAGGGGTGTAACAGATTGTCTCGATTTTTTCTCTAACCTAGTATAGACGCAAATGTGTTAAAGCATGCTCAAGTGATGCTAAGGAAATTTTGATCCAACTTTTGGATGCTCGGATTTATCAACGATTAGGAAGCATTCACCTATCTAATGATGCTGACACTTTCTGTAATCTATCACTCAATCGAGGTTACCGACTGAGCTTTGAAGCAGCTCAACGAGCCGGTGAATAACTTCAACGACCACTTGAAAAGAGAGACATGAAAGGCATTCACGAACAAGCACCGAGAACATTTCAAGCTCTGATGACTACAGGAGGTATTAATCACAACGGAACCACCCGACACTCAGAATTTCCATCTACATTGATCCATGGGGTAGCAAGATACGTTTTCAGATATAATACAAGGAATCAAACTAACTTATGATGAAGAATCAGGTAAACACAGCGCTGAGGAAGCCTCTCAGACCTCGTTTTACAGTAAACCTCAGACGACCAAGCTAGTTTCTGAGCCCACTCCGCGTGTTTGCATTTTCAATCATGAAGCCTTTACCTAGCGCTTTTAATATACCCTCCACGCTTTCACTTCTTTCTGAAAGTAATTCCATTCGGGTTGGAGCACATAACAATTTGGCATCTACTTAGACCCTGATTCACAATTGACGTCACTCACCAGGTCGTTCTAGGTGCGCTGAATGCAGCGACCTTGAGGTAATCCTCTCTCGTAGCCTACAGAAATTGAATCACGCTTACAGATTGCGCATCCTGCAAGCACTTAAATCGACTTCTCAATCCAATATGCCCAAGTCCTACGGAAGTCGACTTCATTGAAATTATTCCGCGAACTCAGGTACGTCACCTAGGGCTGTGCGTCTCACCACCTGGCTAGATAAATGGAAGAATGCTCCAACTTAAGTTAAATTTACTTTCGGCTCATATTACTCAAATATTCATCGAAAGAATGTGTCAGACTCGAGAGCCCTTTAAATGTAATGGAACAAGATCCACCTGACATAATTATATTACCTTCGGTGCGCCAATTCACCTAGTTAATACGCTACAGACGTCAATCAATGTTATATCTCAGTATTTTTGCCGCTTGACACCAAGGCGTTTTCTGAAGCACAACTCAAATAGCATAGCACCAAAGGAGCAGACCTACAGAGGGATGACTTTTGAGTCCTCCCAAGAAGGAAAGTTGGCAAACGCCCATAAGAGTGAGTGCCACATCTCCCGCTGTCCCTCTCCCCGTCCTCAAAGTTGTCCGAACTGAGTGTGATCGCTTCTGACAAGTTAATATCAACCCATTCAAGGCATTCAGTTTACTTATAACCAAAGTGTAAACATGAGTTAAAAAGCGCAAGTGGACCCACGCCAGCAGAACAAACATTTATTTCTACCAGCTCGCCCGATTTATGAAGCCCTAATTACAAGTCTTCTAAAAGCATTCAATATGTTGGGGTAAAGCACAATAAAAGTTCCGAAGACACCTCAAAAAGGCAACAAATTCGATGCAGCAGGAAAACAAACCGACATACTGCCAAAAAACGAAGCCCAGGTCCCTAGCATTTGGACAGAGAAGCAAAAGACACAAAATGGCGATACAATGCCACACAAAGCAACTACCGAGCTTTGGTTAAGCCAGTACGGTGCATTCCAACTAAGCTAAACTCAATTTACTATTTTAAGAATAACACCTACCGCTAAAACGTCAGTAACATGTGCAAAAGCAGCGTTCACTTAGCCAAAGCAGAGGTACCGCTTGAAAGCTAAACCGATAGCAGAATCTGCTACGTTAGCGGCAGCAAGGTAGAACCATCCGCGAAATGACAATGAGGCTATTCTAGACGAGCTTCCCTACTTGAAGGCAAAAAGCTCAGCAAGACTAAGTTAAAACTCGAAAAATGTGCTTCCCTCAGGACTACGTTAGGGAATTACGATTGTCGACACCAAAAAAGCAGAAGACCAGGCCGAATTTCTGCAAATTTAAAGTGTTAGGAAATAATGCATGCACAAAGGACAAAGACGGTGGATGCAACGCAAGAATTACATTGTTGCAAAGTCTACCACGCAAAAAACTATACATTTCAAATGACTAGTCTATTTTCCACTAAGGAATTTGGTAAGGAAATCCTTCGGTTTTTCCACCTCAGTTTCCCGGAAAAAATCCATAACCTGGCAATCAGAACGCCATGTACGAGCAACTTCCAGAAGATCATTCTGACCCTACACAGTGGCTTTGAGAAATCCACAATATACCCGATGGACAAGGAGATCAATGACGCGAATATCCCTGACGTCCTTGTTTTTCATAAACTCCTCCCTTAGTTTTTGCTTTAACTCAGGGACAGTAGCCGTAACACAAGTATATCCGTACTCCTTCACAATGAAGGGAAGTTGACGGTACCAAGCACGGTAGAGGTTCAGAACTCTGCGCTTTGCCTCTACAGCATTCCTAGAAAGTATAGGCCTGACGACCTTAAAGCTCCCAGCGGCAGACATTGCCGAAGGGCCGAACGAAGTAGCAGACTAATTCGAAGTGCGCACAATGATTAAGTGCAAATAAGAAGCCAACGGAAACATAATCGACAACAAATAATTTATATTTTTACTAAAAAGTTCGAATTTTACCTTTACTTTAGCACTTGCCGTCAATGAAAGACAAAATAGCTGATGTCAAAAAGGATATGCTATTCAGTGCTGTAGGTCTCATACTAACACAGATGTGTGACATAAAATCTTCAAAACAAGGTTCTCGGGGGTAATAATGGCTAAAATGCTACATGCGTTTCATTAATTACTAAATTGTAAATATTGTGTCGCAGTGTCTTATTAAATTTATGAAGTCGAGCCACAAGTTCACGTAGCAGGAAAATTTTGCCTTGTAGTTATAAAAGCACAATATGTTACCCTGCCAAACGCCATGCTTTCTTGTTTTGTCTTAATTAGGCTTTTCTTTTGTTATTTATATCTTACAAGTAGGATTAATATCCTAAATTATTTTGCTGTCTTACAATGCTGCATAATTAGCTTATAATTTCCACCTTTGCTGTTTTATTGTGTTTATACTTGCTGTAGTGAGAGAAAGCCTCTGGTCATCACGTGCAATTTTGATAAGTGGTAAGGGTGGTTGTTATGCCTTTCGAAGTTTAAATTTGAGGTGTCCTGCTGTCGGCACACTGAGTTTATATATCGTGTGGTGACTAACTCGTTTTCATGTTGGATTATTGTGCTTGTGTCAGCTGTGTTGGATAGATTCTTTGCTTGATTGTTGTTTATGCTTAGGTTTTTGCCCGATCATGCTCCGCGGGGTATCGAAGTTAGCCAAATTGTTGGCTTCTAACGAACTTAAGACGCGAAAGCGCGGCTACAAATACGTCTGCGAACTCCTAAGTTTAGAACCCGGTTCGGACCACTGTGAGTCTTAGTAGTGCTGTTCTTACGTTTTACTATTCTAGTTGATATGTCTTTCAAAGATATGCTTGGCGTGTGTAAAGGTCTATATTACAGTCTGTGGATGCAGGATAAACTGCTATTGCAGGTACTCTGTTTCGTCTATCTAGAAATCGCCATATTTAGGAGGAGTCGGCCGCGAGAATCGCCAAACTAATTTCGACTTCAAAGTCCAAAGTGATTCGATGCATGTATATAAAAGCTATGTTTGCGACCTTGGCTCGCGAATGGGACAACTTGGATAATTGGAGAGAGGATAAATTTATGATGGTATGTCTCAGCAAACGCTTCCGACGTTGATCCTTGCGGGCATAGTTTGGCTTAAAGATGTTCTTATATGTTTGCTCCCCTTTCTGAGTACCAATTTAATTGGCCTTTCTTATACGTAGCTCACGAGAGTCTTTTTCGTACGTTGTATTGAGTCGGTTAAAAATCGGAAAGTCTCGGTGGAGACGCTTGCAAATGCTGTCTTTGAAAATGTACTAAACGCCAATACCGGTTCGGCCATCGGTCTGAAACTCCATTTATGCCTCGTTATACAGCAAGAGCTCCTCAACTCAGGGGTATGTTTCCACTTATTTGGTCTATCACTGTTCAGGCGGTCGTCGAAATCGTTCAGTCTTTCTTTAAACACGCCGTTGAAACTCTTCAATCCATTCCGAAGTATGTGAGCAGTTTTTCGTTCATCTCTCCTACAGAGGCAGTGCTTATGCGTCGGATTTGGTAAAGCTACTCCTATTCTTGGTCAGACAGATGCGAAGATACCCGAAGGTTAGCGATCCACATTAACATGTGATGTCCCTTTGTAGTTACCTCTAAGGAAGATAAGTGATGAACTATTGGTTTCATCAACAAAGGTTGTAGCTCACAGGAAAGTACTGCGGCGAATGGCACTGATGTGAGATCATTTTAGCAGCAATTTAAATTCTGCGCTGTTGTTGCGTCTCAACAAAATTTCCGTTTGCAACTCTCTAGGTTGTACACAAAAAGACCCAAAATGAATGAGGAACAAGAGAAATCTATTGAAAATCCTACAACTTTAAATGGTGATGAAGCTACTCCTGCCGTCAACTCAATCACAGTTACTAAAACTCGGACAAAGAGGAGGTTAGAGGAAGACCATTTGGAAAACTCGGTAGGTTCCTCTGGATTGGTTACGGTGATCTTTTCGACGAAAGCGATCTGTTTTATAAATAAAATTTCAGGAGGCCTCACCTGATCTCAGCTTACAGCGTCGTAAAAGAAGGAAAAAAGCTGAGGCAGGAGCGGGAAGCTCGTCGATCGACCCTGATCAAAATCTAGCATCTCAAAGGACGGTATGGTGAAACTGATGGGCTCTTTTTGTTCTACTTTAGCAGTACATTGTGTAACAGCATTTGGAAGAAATAGAGATATGTCACTTATTCAAAGAGCGTGAGATACTGGATACGTTTCTGCAGTCTGCGATTCTTTCGTAAATCGATGTTAACGACACCCAACATTAATTTGTTTTATGGTGATTAATTATTGCTTGAAAGTAAATGTGAGCAGTATTTGGGATGCTTTCGAAGATCTATTCCACTTTCCAATTTTGAGCGAATAAACCATGTGGGGATTAGGTGACTGATTCTTTAACTGCATTCGTCGGTGGGTAGGTTCGCGGAATCACAGAATCAGTGTCAGTTTCTTCGAAGGGTCGCTGCGTCCCGTTGTCAGTTGTATTTTAGGGCGTCTTTCGATCGGTTTGGTAATGCTGTGTTGTCATATCAGATGTTTGAGGAGCTTGGCCAATTCAACTGGTTGAAGTGAATGTCCGTCGTGATAGCTATGGATGGACACATTGGCAGACGTATTTGTGACGGGACAATCAGGATCCTCCGGCAGCTGGGGAAGTACTTTGCTTTTCAACGAACTTTGTGCGTCTGTCTCTACTACGTTAATCTTCGTTAGTTTATTTAATCTCGCGGACTGAACTAGCGCTAGCTCCTGAGAGCGGCAGCATCTTAGTCTTGAGCGCTTATTCAAAAATCGGTGTTCCATATTTAGTGTTACCAGGTGGGGTTGTGCGTTTTCTTCAATGCTGGCGGCTTTGCTTTTACCACTTGCTATAATTGTAGTTCTTCATAGTTTTCTGGTTATTTGGTATTATAAAGTCCTTTTCATTACAGGAAATGGTTGATAGAAATGAAAAAGAAGTCGTCGGGACGTCCTCCTCTGCAGTAAATGAAGAGTTAGGTGGTGAGACAACGAAACCCGAATTTGACCTTTCGGTAATCGATCAAGTCCCTCCTATAGCCGAGAAAAAGCGCGTTTCATTTGGGAAAGTGGTCTGCAGAAGTGAGTCTTATTCAATCCATGGCTTTCATAGCTGTTCATCTTATTTCATCCTTCTTTAAAGGATATTCGTCCAACCGGATATCGAAAGTCAGAAGCACAACGTTGTCGAAGCCTGACCGTAGCATTCTACGGCGTTAGGGTTGCGCAAATCTGAAGCAGGAACTGTGTGCATTGGCATGAGTTCTGCTTTGCACAAACTTTATCTTCCAATCCACATTCTACATTGCCAATTGTATTTTCATGCGGTTTTGCCGTAAAACAAGATGTAAATGTGTACTGCAGGTTTCTTTAGTGGTGGTGGACATTTGGAAGGATTATCAAAGGTTATCTTGTGCAGAGCATTAGAATGTTGCAAATATTAAACATTATTACCGGGTTCATTTATCGCAGTGCTGTGATGACATTGGTGAAAATATCTTCCAGTTGATAATCGCTGTAGCGATTTGCACTCTTGTGAATCAACTGTTTATTCCTTCCCCCCCCCCACCCCACTTTGGTGATAAGCTGCTTTGGCGCGTTCCAATTCCACTTCGGCTGAGCAGGCCATTTCAGTTGTATAGAGGGTGCTGCATTGGTGTCTTTAACAAATGTACCCCATCTTGAAGATCAGTCGTCCTACCTTTATCCTTGATTAATCGAGCTTAGTGGGGTGGAGGAGGGGCATAGACTGAGAACGAAAGCGGTCGTGTCTACTCCCAGTAAAGAGGCTGAGACGGTGCCCTGTCTTCAGTGACTACCTCATGGTTGATGAGCATCCGCAGAAGTCGTATCGCTGACTTGTTTACTGCAGAGCTGCGAAAATGCCAATTAAGTGTAAACCCGATATCTTTCACTTTTCCGATTAGTAGACTGTAACTCAAACAGGTATGGCTGAAGTAAGAAAAAGTGTCAGAGAGGGATAGCGACCAAATTTTGCCCACGGACCTATGTCCAATGTTATGCGAGTGCTTCTAAGTTCGATTTCTACGACTTACGATAGCGGAATCCAAACAGTACAGACCTTCAGCCTCGGAGGAGTCACTAAGGGGAACCAGGGCGTTTCTGTTATATTGACATGGAATGATCACTACGAAGGGCGTTCAAAGGAAGGAAGTTAAGAAATTCGTCAATCGTTTGCTCGCTTCTCTGCTTCGGCGACAGACCACCGATTATGGGCGACTTATCCACTGGACCATTTCCATGGCCCCTAGTATCCTAAGCCAAGAATATTATTTTTACCTTCCATTCAATAGCGGTAGCCTGAGTCGCATTGTGGTTGCACGTTTTTACTCCGTACTGCTCCTACTTTAAATTGGTGCAATCACTAGGACCTTTACTAGCTACTAGTTTCATTAGAAAACTCACAAAGTAGATTTCAAATTCTGACACCCATATAATCTCAAACATTTTGCCTTTGGTACAGAACCTCTTGTGTATCGATATTACACAACCATTTAAAGAGCTTTTATAGAGCAGTGATGGCAGGACTAGCAAATAAACCAAACAACATCTTAAAATGTGATTAGATGTAAGCCAGGGTTCTTAAAGAAGACTTATTTCTAATCGATTCAGACTCATTAAAATACGCTCTGACATCATTGATTTTTCGTAAACCAGACGCAATTCAAATTCTTGGTGATTGTGTTGGTTATCTAAAAGTCATTTAAAACCGAGCGCGAAAAGCTTTAATTTGGAAGGCCAAATGCCACACGAAGATTTTGGACCAGATGATTGTTTTAACGACATAAAGCTTAAGTTCCGACCAGCACGTTGGCCAAAAATAGATCTGTATCCCGAAGCGAAAGAGGACTTGCTTCGGTCTTTTAATCTTTTTGACAAGAGCGGTCTAGGCGTTGCTAGTATCGACTCAGTTAAGGTGGGTGCGTGCCTTCTCTCATTATTAACATATTTTACTAATGAAAACTAAGTAGACAATCTATTTTACGATGGCAAATTGCAAAAAATGCGTTACCACGCTCTTAAATGCATTAATACACTTCAGTTTCAATCAGGAGGCTTTGAACATGGTTAATACAGACAAGGTAAATTAACTACAGGTAGCGTTACGCGCTCTGGGACATGAAATTGATGCTAAAGAAAATGAAGCTCTTAAGTTAATGTTTCCGGACGAAACTATCGTCTTTGGTGACTACCTCAAGCTCCTCTCGGAGTGGATTTTTAACGTCGATCAGGATCTTGATGTAGAGAAGGCTTTCTCACTATTCGACATTGATGGTAAGGGTTACATCGACTTCGCTGACCTCCGAAGAGTGCGGGACCGTCTTGGATACTCTCAGGAAATTGACGACTCAGAAATTATCGATATGCTGATTGGGTCCCAGGTATACGCTCTTAAAAATTGGTCTTTTGTGACATCGCTTTTCGCAAAATTAATTAATAATCACAAGTACAGATTTTTTACTTCTTTGGCATTCTACAAGATTCGTATGTGCTGTTTAGCAAATTAACAATAAAACTACCGTGATATCCTATGTTTCTTGCAATTTCGATTGTTCGCCCCTTCCACTCACAGAAATTTGAATCCACTCCTGCCTTGGCATTGAAGTTGTGGTTGGAATGGTTCTTCAATTTTCTCATAGATTAGTGGAAAGGTACCTCAACGCCGTCACTTGTAATTGTTTAACCTAAAACGCGAACTAATTAAGCGCCATTTTATTCATACGCTTAACCTCAAGATCGTCCCCCTAAAATTTGGCTACTATTGTTTAAACAAAGATCAGAGAGTTTTGCAAAGTCCTTTTAACAAAGGTTTTAAGGTGGTGATTATAGCTCAAACAGAGCATCAGTTGATCAAAACAATAATCACCATTAATCCTTAAAGTGTTCCATTTTTCCATTTAATAACAAAACAGAAAATTAATGCTCTCTATCAGTCCTGACATATTTGAGAAGTGAAATACACATACCTTATTAAGTGATTCGCATTTAGTGAAGAACTAAACCAATTTTATTATCCTTATTTCTAATTTCCTTTATCCATTAGACTGAAGAGGTTCTAACTTTAGCCCGAATGGCTGTCTAGACACATCCAAACTCCCTTTCGAATTCAGATGCTTTTTTAAAGCCTTACCTTCCATAATCTAGTCGATATGATGCGCTGTTAACGGGAAACATGACGCTTTGAAAAGTTTTTCCTCTGGTGGCCATTTTTTTCAATTTGTTTGGTTGTTAACATAAACCTGGCCTTATTACTATAATGCATTCTATTTTACATTATCGTATCTGTTTGCTCCACCAAAGCTTCCAACCCACAAGTAGTCTCAAATGGTAGTTCAGATTTTATAGCAAACATACAACTCCTCATATTCAACTGCGTGTACCACCAGTCATAGCAATGGAGAAGGATTGCATGAGTATTGGTTCTCTGAATGTCCAAAGGTGAACGATGCCGCTGAGGAATTGAAGGAGATCTACGAGGCTCGACAGGATAAGACACGTCTAAGAAAGGGTCAAGGCTACGCCACGTCGTTGGTGGGGGAGGTGGGTGGTGGTGGGACGGAGAGTGGCCCAATGTTGGCTCCGCCATCAATAGGCATGCACAGACGCACCTCCTCTGAAGATGCCTTTGATCCCGCTGGACTCACCGTGGACTTCGACAAGTTCAAACGCGTTCTTCAACTTGAAGCAGCACCTCCTGAACCCATCTAACTCAAGTCCTACAAATGTGAACAAAGTTAATAGTAATGCATTGGCGTAACCATTTGTTTTATTTCCATATTTAATAGCTCAAAAGCCAATGATTTTTGCAATCATGAAAGTTTAATTGACAAACTAACACCTAATGCCAGAATGTAAAAGTAACCTTCAACATCGAGATCTACAGAAGCTTATTGTCTTTAAAACCTCAAATAGTACATATCTTTATACTTCGAGGTTGTTATTGGAGCAAATTGCTTGAAATTTTCCTTTCCACTTCCTACTGGCTCTGTGACAACATTTCATGAGCTGCAAGTTGAGGTGGAGGGCCATAGCTCTTATCTCGCGGACAAGGTTAATGAACCTTGGGGAATAAACTCGGTGAGGTTTTGAAGAACTAAACATCTCAATAAAACCACAGCTTACTCATTCGGACAGTAGGTGGACGGGAACTGCACACACACACACGCCCGCCCACAAAGGCAGTCAAAATACGATTTTTTTCCGGGAATTTTCCCAGCACAACACATGCGCAAAACCAGTCATTAGGCTTCTTTCTCATCGACACATTAGTCCCGCCTTATTTTGCCTCTATTGAGGCAGTAGAAAATTGTCGGCAAGTGTGTGTGTAC